ATTATAAGAACAATAACTCCACTCGCGGCAAGGGTGGAAAAATTCAGAAAAAAGGGAACAATAGTGGTGAATGCTATGTGTGTGGAAAATGGGGCCACCGTGCTGCCCAATGCTATAAACGCCATGGGTCTACGAGTCAGAAACCAAACAACGAGAAGTCGAAGAACCAAGTTAATTTGGCGGAGAACACAGAAGATGCTGATTTAGTAGCTGCAGTAGTAACTGAAGCCAACATGGTGGAAAATCCAGACGAATGGGTTGTGGACACTGGAGCCTCACGACACTTTTGCAACAACAAAAATTCATTCAAAACCTTTGAGCCTATCACTGGTGGAGAACAAGTCTTCATGGGAAACTCCAGCATTTCCGAGGTAAGTGGTAGAGGAAAAGTAGAATTACTGCTTTGTTCTGGAAAACATTTACTGTTGCAAAATGTGCTTTATGTCCCTTCCCTTCGAAGAAATCTGATTTCCGGAGGCCTTCTTAATAAGGCTGGAATTAAGATGGTTTTTGAGTCTGACCGTCTGGTTATGACTCGTTGTGAGAAGTTCATTGGGAAGGGATATCTGCGTGGAGGTCTTTTTGTACTAGATGTCTCTATAGTTAACAATAACTCTGATGTATCTGGCTCTTCTCTGAATGCTCGTGATAATAAGAATGCTTCTTTTGCTTATACCGCTGTATCAGTTAATGTTTGGCATGCTAGATTAGGACATGTTGGTGCAAAGTGTTTATATAGACTGAAAAACGTGAATATGCTACCAGACCTGTCTAATGATACATGTGAACAATGTGAAACATGCGCTGAGGCAAAATTTGCTAGAACATCCTTTTTAACTGTAAAGCATCGTTCTTCATCATTACTAGAATTGGTACACACTGATTTAGCAGATTTTAAAACCACTGAAAGTCGAGGTGGTAAACGTTATTATATAACTTTTATTGATGACTTTTCTCGTTATACCAAATTATATTTGTTGAGAACAAAAAGTGAAGCCGAACAAAAATTTGTTGCTTTTAAAATGAAATAGAAAATCAGTTGGAAAAAAGGATCAAAAGGCTTAGATCCGATAGAGGAGGAGAATATGAATCAACTATTTTGAAAGATCTGTGTGAATCTTCTGGCTGTACACGAAGTAACTGCACCCTACACACCCCAACAAAACGGCATAGCAGAAAGAAAGAATAGAACTCTCAAAGAGATGATCAACGCCATGCTAATCAGTTCAGGTGCCTCTGATTCATTGTGGGGAGAAGCTGTTCTAACAGCTAACCACATTCTAAACCGAGTCTTACACAAAGGGTTTGAAAAAACCCCTTATGAACTGTGGAAAGGGCATGCGCCAAATCTTAAATACTTTAAAGTATGGGGTTGCTAGGCAAAGGTGGGACTTCCGTCCTTTAAAAGGCCTAACTTGGGACCTAAAACCTTAGATGCCGTTTTTATTGGTTATGTTGAAAATAGTGCAGCTTACAGGTTTATGTGTTTAGAAAACCGTACAATATGTGAATCTAGAGATGCAGTTTTCTTTGAACATGTGTTTCCCTTGAAGGGTTCTCTTGAACTAGATACGAATAAAGTTCAACATAATCTATCTTTCCCTGATTTCTCATGTAATTCAGAAGAGCCTAGAAGAAGTAAAAAGCCTAGAATTGAGAAAAACTTTGGCTCTGACTTCATAACGTATATGACTGAATTGAAAGATCCAAATGAACTGTGTGATCATTTTATATGTCAACTTGTGTTAGAAGAAGAACCAAAATCCATTCAAGAAGCCATGCGATCTGTAGACGCTACTCTATGGAGAGAAGCAGTCAAAAGTGAGTTAGACTCTATATAGTCTAATCATACGTGGGAAATAGTGGATTTGCCCAAGGGTTGTAAACCCATAGGCTGTAAATGGATTTTCAAGAGGAAATTGAGACCAGATGGTTCAATTGAAAGATTTAAAGCCAGGCTGGTAGCCAAAGGTTTCACACAGAAATTCGGTGAGGATTACTTCTATACGTATTCACCAGTAACAAAGATATCTACTATACGTGTTCTATTTGCTTTAGCATCTTTGCATAGGTTAATAGTACATCAGATGGATGTAAAAACAGCTTTTCTAAATGGTGAACTAGAAGAGGAGATCTACATGGAACAACCCCTCGGATGTGTTGATCCAGGACAAGAAGGAAATGTATGCAGACTTAAAAGATCTCTTTATGGCTTGAAACAAGCCCCTAAGCAGTGGTATGAAAAGTTTCACAAAACTTTGTTAGAGCTAGGTTATTCCACTAACCGCTCAGATGCCTGCTTATACACAAAAGAGGTAGAGTCTAGCATCGTAATAATCTGTCTCTATGTAGATGACATGCTTATCTTTAGCTCAAGTATAGGAGCTATAAATGAGACTAAAAGAACTCTATGTGACAAGTTTGATATGAAGGATCTAGGGGAGGCTGATGTAATACTCGGGATAAAGGTTACAAAAACTGAGAAAGGTTACCTTTTATCCCAAAGTCATTACACGGAGAAACTCCTGAAGAGGTTTGAGAGTTATGAAGTAACTCCAGCTAAAACCCCCTATGATCCCAGCGTCAAATTATCAAAAAACATAGAGGTCAGTGTGTCTCAAGAAGAATATGCAAAGATAGTTGGGAGTCTAATGTTCTTGATGAACTATATTAGACCAGATCTTGCATTTGTTGTGAATAAACTCAGTCGGTATACTCACAACCCTGGTATCTCACATTGGGATGCACTGAGAAGGGTACTTCGGTATCTAAGAGGCACAATAGACTGGGGCCTTAACTATAAGGGAGACCCAGCTGTGCTCGAGGGGTTCTGTGATGCAAACTGGGTAAACGACGCTGATGATGTAAGCTCAACTAGTGGATACGTGTTCACTATGTGTGGGGCCGCGATATCATGGAAGTCGACCAAACAATCCTGTATAGCCAGATCAACTATGGAATCAGAGTTCATAGCACTAGATCTAGCAAGTCAGGAAGCCGAATGGCTGAGAAATCTTTTGGCAGACGTGCCATTGTGGGGGTGCCCAGCACCTGCTGTTCCCATACATTGTGATTCCCAGACTGCCATTTGTGTTGCGCAAAACAGTGTCTACAATGGGAAACGTAGACACATAAGAGTCAGACATGAGTCTGTACGGCATTTAATAATAAATGGGGTAATCACAATGGTTTTTGTGAGGTCTGAAAGGAATATTGCAGATCCTTTCACAAAGGGCCTAAACAGAAAGGCCGTCCTTGATACATCAAGGGAAATGGGTTTGGGACCCATAGATACTCTGTAGCCAATCATGGTGGTCTGCGTTGAGGTAGACTTGACAGAGTTGCAGGTCTATCCTAGAATAGATCTAACATGGGATATTTCAGGGTCAAGATTATGACCAATTATGGCGACTAGAGCGAATTAAGTGCATTCAAGTTCAAACTTTGTCTATCTGGTGAGTTCAAGATCTAATTCACTCCCGCATAGAGAAGTACTTAATGTCACTATATGACAGTTCAAGTTTTATACACTGGCATGAAAAATTGCTTTGGTCGTATTCAGGCAATGTCAATACCAGCCTAATCCCTTTTCATGGTGGGGGATTGTTGGGAGCATTTAAAGGGAAAGGCTTATTTTAGCTTAACCAAGTTGTCCCACATTGATAGTTTAACCTCTCTTTTCCCTCCTTATATACTCCAAGTCCTTTGAGATGGTTTGAAGTGTTATGAGAAGGGAAAGGAGGTAAACCACGCGCGCGCCGCCGCCTGTCCGGCCCGGCTCGTCATGACGCGTGGTGGGGTCAACGTTTCTTACCCTATTTTTTTGGATCTATTAGTGACCTATGTGCGCAGGGGTGGTCTTCACTGATTTGTAGTCCTATTTTTATGGGTAGTGAACGGTTGGCTATGTTCTTATGTTGTTAAAATGCAAGAGAGGGCTGTTCGAACACCACTGCAGTTCGCATACATATATCAGTTCTTATATATATATATATATATATATATATATATCTGTTTGAGTAATTATATATCTGTTCGCATAGATATATGTTCGCAGATATATCAGTTCGCATATATATATATATATATATATATATATATATATATATATATATATATATATATACTTCCAGTTCGAACAACACTGCGATCACCACCTTTATATATATCAGCCTGAGAGTCCGTTCTGTTTTGCCGGTCGAAAGCATACGACTCAATCCCTGGTCGTGAATGTTTTTAAGGCAGTGTGATACACACGATACAGAACCGTGTCTTTGTCTTTTTCGTTCCAAAGCTTTCATCCACAGTGCAGGAAAAAACCCAACATTAACAACACAAGTACCAATCACCCAAGCTATTCATATTTCAAATACGGGAAGCATGATAATTTACTTACTCATGTGAAGATTGTTGGCATCTAGGTAGTTTGGGGAGGGGGGAGGGGACACGTGTATGGTCAACCATTCGAAAGGTCTTCAACACTATATAAGAGATTTTATGGCTCGCTTAAAATATCATCCCTTGGTCTAAATCTTCTCATTCCAACGGCTTGTGATCCTAACTTTTAACAACACTAGGGTTCAATATTTATTTGAGTTGCCATTTTAAACCATTATCTCAGACTTTGTATGCAGTGTGTACCTGGTGAACTATGCATCATACATACAATGCAAATGATAAGTGATTTAACAATCCTTATACAAAAATATGCTCTGTGTGAACCACATATTGTGACTTTAGTCAACAAAAAAATGTAAACCAACTTGAGTTGCTTATAACTGACAATCTCAAATCCGTAAACATCTTAACTCTCACGAAAAGTTAAACTTAAAATTTTGTAATTACAATAATTATCAAATCAATTACTCCCTACATGTCTAATTAACTTAGGTGCGTGAGTTAAAAAAAAAAAAAAAAAAAAAAAAAAAAAAAAAAAAAAAAACTTAGGTGAGTTTTAATTACTCGGTGGGTGGTGGGGGGAGTTGGGTGATGAGAAATGATGAAGGAAGAAGCACATAAAATATTGAACATAACCTAAACATTTACATTGGTACACTACAACTGCATAAACCTTATCTTAACATATGACATTTGGATCAAAAAGTTCACCACAACACATTCCATTACACATCATAATAAACTAAACACGCACCCTTAGCTTCTACCCGGCCGGCCCGCCACATCGCCGGTCTCAGTGTTCACCATCGCCAGCTTTCAAGTAAAGAGACTCGCCTCCATCCACGGCGGAGCCCCCACCTCGCGCTTCAGAACCGCCCATCTCCGGCTTAAGCCCGGCGGCGCCCAATCCAGCCGCGGCGCGATCAAACTCCCCGAAACTCCCACCGCCGTGAGCCGCCGCCTCGCTCTGCAGTATGTGAAGCCCGCCGCTGGTCCCCACGCCGGAACCCATCCCGAGCTGGCTGTACAACGCCGCCTGCTGCTGCTGCTGCTGCAGCGTCTGCTGGCCGTACATCATGGAGGAGCGCGCGGCCATTAGCGACTGTGTCATCATTTGCTGCGCCTGTTGCGGCTGCAGAAAGTTCGCCCCCGCCTGCACCATCCCACCCGAACCGTACTGACAACGATAACAACACTCAAAACATTAATTTCATGTTACTACAAACATATGCATACCAGAAAAAATAAACTCCCATTCTGATCACACTATAAATCAGTCTAGATTGTCTATAACTGATCGTCAACTACTCCGAGGTGAAGAGTCGAACTTTAACCTTATAGTTACTAAGTCAATAGTTGATAATGCCGAGGTTACCTGAGAATGCATGCTGGGAGGCTGTGGTTGTGAATCGGCAATTGCAGCTAGATACATTAGGTTTCTTTGCAACCTGGCTTGGTTCCTGTTAGGAAAGTAAATCACCATTAATCATAGCATGTGAGGTTCAACTTCTATCCGGACACATAGAATTAGCCCGAGCTAAGTTGATTAGTGTTGAATGGAGATTAGTGAAGGGTCAAATTTAACAATTGTGTGATTGGAAGGCGATCTAAAGGGCTAAGTCCAGCACTATACCTCTCAAAAATATAGAGACATAAAGAAAGTTGTGAATCTATTAGTTATAGTTTTTTGCTAGCATGGTCACGAATTCAAATATTTTATTTATTTTTAAATGACGATAAAAAAATGTAGTTACTTTCAAAAGTAACGTGCATTAGGTAAATTTGCTTTACGATCCTAGTAAAAATTGCTCACAGTCAGATTGTTATAACTGACCGACTTAAACCAAGAACTTGTAAACTTATGATTCTCAAGTTAATACTCTGATTAATTTGATTGAATCTGTCTTAATTTGAACTCTGAGCAACTTAGATTGGCCTAATAAATCTATCTCTTAAGTAACGAGAGCAAGTAAAACCCTCACCATTTGCATAGACTTATTTGACTAACATTGTTTGGTTATTTTATGGGAGTATCAATCATTTAGGTAAATATAGAGTTGAACAACCAAAATAATCTGACAATCTCAATGATGAGCCTGACATTTGAGTACATTGAAAATACAAGGTGAGCATCAAAGAAATGTAATAATGAAGAAGACATTGAAGGGTGTAAATGCTTACTCAGCACACTCGGAGAGTTTCCCAGAGTTCTGGCTCTCCACAATCTTCAGAATCAATGATTTATTCTCATCTAAGTACTGACCAAAAACACAACACCAGAAGGAACAGTGGTGAGGTACTAAAATAACCATTTCTAGTACTGTACAATGTAAGTCCATTATTCACAAAAATTATTGCTGGGAGAGTGGGAGATTCTCCTTTTCATCCCCTATATAATACTAGTATGGTCACAATGAATAAATATACACAATCTTAGTTCTGCTGCAAAGTCAAAGGGAGAAATCTTTTTTGTATTATTGCTTTAAAGGGAAAAAGTAAGCCCATCTTTGAAACTACCAAGAAATAATAATGTGATGCTACCCATAATCTATAAACTTTTGTTATTTAAGTCAGTCATCTATAAACAACTTTAAGGTGAATTATTTTATTCTGATTCTTTACTAATTATGGTTACAATACGATATTTGTTCAGTGAGACCTCAAGTGATTGAAGATTTCCTTGGTCACTCAAAAAAAAAAAAAAAAAGTTGTGCCAAGAACCATACATTGAAAACCAAAAATCATCATCAATTGACAAATTAAAATTCATTTAATTTGCTACAATCTTAGAAGTGTGACTAAAGATCAAGAATGAGAAATACCAAAGGTTAAAACTTTTTTCACTTTTTGTTTCTTGTTGAGCCTAGAGTGTATTGTACCAAAAAACCAACCAAGATCTATCAGAGAGATTATTGTACCCAGAAGTGAAAAACAAGAGACAGCAGGAACACTGCAAGCTAAGCTAAGCAGCTGCCAAGTGTATATATGTGATATTATAATCAACCTAACCAAAAGACAAACAACTCAACAGGCACAGATCAGAGGAGCAGAGAACGAAGAAGATCAGATGAGAGAGGAGAAGAGATTAAAGAAAGAAAGATGGGAATTAATTAATAATTATTAGGGAAAGAAAAAAAAGACCTGTTGAATGTGGTCAGTGGTGACGTTGTTGGGATAGTAGGCTGCCATCATGGGCTGCTGCATTTGTATCAGGTGCTGCTCTATCTTCACCACCTCACCTCCTTTTATACCCACCCCACTTTCCCTGCCCTTCTTCTACTTCTAAATCTTCCAGTTGAGTAAAGAGTAATATATATTTGTGTATAATCAACACTGTATCTATGTATCACTTTCTCTCTCTGTGAGTGTGTGTTGTGTGTGAAAGAGAGAGAGAGAAGTGCAATGAAATGGCCCCCTTCTGTTCAGACCTAAAGAGTGTATGTATTCTGAATACTTAGACTGAAGGATGGGACCTTGAAATGGACAGTGCAAACAATGCAGAAGAGGCTGCTTGCCTGCAGCTACCTATGCAGCTCATATATATATATGGAAAATATTATTCTATGTACACTCAATTTTTACAACTTGTTCATATATATTTTTTCAACTTGTTGAAGTCAAAAAGTCGATATCGTTCTTATTGAGGGGCGAACCAATGGACGATGACCTCTTATTTGGAATAGTCACTTCCATAAAAGTCATTGACTGTATAGTAAAGAACTCCATAATCAAATCATGCAATCAATTCTATGCATTTGAATTAGAAAACAAAAAAAAATATTATTGCACTCTAATTTAACGGAAAAGGTTTACTAACAATCATATTCTACTCACCGGATCACATATTCTAGAATAATCCATTTTGTTCTTTAACTCTTTGATATATTGAAAATTAAAGCTCACAGTCGGTACGGCCGCTTTGAATTCGGTGAAGCGCGTCTTGTAACCCTAATCGTCGCTCACTCTATCATCTCTTCTAAAGTAGGCCAACTTATACTTTAACTCGTGAATTGATTTACAAAAAAGACCATCATATTATCACTATTCGAATGAGCGTTTCGACTTAAGCTTATTTTGTAACTTAACTAGTAATGAACTACAATAAGTTAAGCTATCTTAGGGTTTCCATGACAAATCAATTTAAACCAACAAGGGAATAGATAATTGTCATGAAGAGTCAAACTCAAAACTTGTACTTTAACTCTATAATTTGAGATTATTGGATAACAAATTTGTAATTATTGGGAATGCTCTAGGTATATGATATTTTGGGGGGCTTGGAGTTTTGGTCCAAGTTTGGTACACCATTGTTTCCAGCTGGTGCAGAGGCTACAGCTGTCACCTGCTTCTCTAGGTTTTATACCAAAGTAAGTCACGTGACGGATGATGATAAAATATAGAGAACTTTTACGAGTTACGACACTTCTATCCATGAAGGGACAGACAATATAGCCCACGTTGGACTTCGGGTCGGGGCCCCATCACACGCTATAGGTCCCGCGCTAAACTCTTGACGTCACCCAGTCGTTGAGATATTCGAGAAATTTCAGATTCTCTTTTTTATTTTTTTTTCCTGGTCTTCCACGCGCTATTCGATCCCCTGATGCTCCGCCCGTCGCGTTCTCCCCCGCAACAGTTTGGCGTTGGTTTCACGCGCGGCTGTTTATCCTAGGATTTCCGTTTCAGTTTCGCGAACTCCGAGGCTGGTGAATGGCCACGTTTGTGGTGTCGAAATGGGAAATTATTCTACGAGTTTTATAACATTAAATATGATTTTCGATAATTTAATTATTTTAACAAAACATAAGATCAATCAAACAATATGAAAATACCATGTTCATTCGGACCATTCACAATAAAATTTAAGATGATGTAGTATTATTTATTTATTTATTTTTTGAATGCTACTAGCTCTATTAGATTGTAGTATCTGTTCATATACTTTCTCAACCTACTGAAACACAAAGAGCCAATAACGCCTCCACTGAGGCTCAAAATCACAACCTTCCACTTGAAAGTCCACTCCGGATACCATTACACCACATAGTCCTGGTATGTAGTATTATTTATTAATTTCTAAAACTTGTCATCTTTAATGCACTGTGTGGCGTGTGGATTTAAAATAAAAAATATATATATTTAAATTTAACATGCCGTTGTTGCAATCTTTTTCTCCCAAAAGGTTGAATCCCTAACCTTAAAGATTTTCATACTTCGACTCGAGTGCCCAACATAATATTTGAAAAGATGTAAACTAAATCAAGATAATTTAATAAGACAATAACTCAGCAGACATGCCAAATGCAGTGAGTAGTTATGTTGTGCATCCGTATGCACCATGTATGGTGCATACAGATGCAAAAATGACGTTGTTTTATTAAAAACGCGCGTCTCCCCTTAAAAAAAATCAGGTTCGATTCCCAACAACAGCATTATGTTATTCATTCATTCTGGAATTTTAGTTCATAGATTATGGAATTTTAGTTCATTGATTCTGGAATTATAGTTCATCGATTCTGGAATTGTAGTTCATCGATTCTGAAATTTTAGTTCATAGATTCTGGAATTTTAGTTCATTCATTCTGAAATTTTTAGTTCATAGATTAGATTCTGGAATTATAGTTCATCGATTATGAAATTATAGTTCATCGATTCTGGAATTTTAGTTCATATGTTGTTGCTGAGAATCGAACCTGATTTTTTTTTGTAAGGGGAGACGCGCGTTTTTAATAAAACGAAGTCATGCACAGCATAATTTGCCAAATGCAGTTGTTGCAATCTGCTATATGAATTGGTTGTTAAAAAGTTGGTAAATAGTCACTAATTAGAGAGTCAAAGTTTTAGTCAATAATATAACCATACTATGTTGTGTGGCCAATATCTACCCTAAAATTGTCGGTAAACTTGCCATCTCCTTCCAAGTTAGACTCAATAAGCATGCATGGCATTGATTTTAGAAGAATGATCATTGGGAATAAAATAAAAGCATGTCAAACATGATTATTCAGACAAAAATGATTGTAGATCATCAAACTACGACATTATAACATCAAGTTTAAAGGTTGACAAAATTATCACAATATATTTTTAAAAGATTAATATTATATGACCCCATTTGTGCTTTATTTTTTCTTTTAGATGACGTGGGAACATGCATTTACATACTATCAAATGGTGTATACTAATTAGTAAGCCACTAATATACAAATCACACAAAAAAGATAAACTGAACTATGAAGACTTTGTGCGACGGATTCAAACTATTATAACATTAAGAAAAGGTTTTTTTTTTTTTGGGAAAAAATGAAGGCGGATACCCAATCATAACACGGGTGCTTCCATGATCTCAATCCATTCACAACACTTCTTCAAAGCCAGCTTAGCAAGCCAATCCGCAGTCTCATTAAAATCTCTTGGGACATGAGTGATTCTCACCTCCCAATCTTTCTTGAACCATCTCTTGCATTCCTGAATGATATCCCAGACCGGCCCCTTTATCTCTTCCTCTTTATTGATCTAGTTGACCACCTCTTGCGAGTCACACAGAAACCACACCTTTCTTTCACCCATTTCCCAAGGGTAATTAAGTTCAAGTAGATTCATATATATATTCATCAACCGTACCTTGCTTGTTTAAGTTATATTCAATAATCATTAATTACTTTTGACAATATAATTAAGGAGTATGATAAAGGTTCACCTGACCAAGTGGACAACCTCTAATTATTTAATTTTACACTGTTTAGTGTCATGACCCTAGGAAAAAGGAATACATCCAATTCAACTTTCAACGTACAACCTGAAAAATATTTGGGCAACTATACTATATACATGTACAAATAAAGGTTGTCAAAACATTGTAGCTTGGGCTTCAGAAAACACGTTCAAAGTACACAGACAACAGTCCTATAAATAAGCAATAGTATACAATAATGTACTCCATAGTAGCTAGCATCTGGAAAACATAGGACAATGCTAAGACAATTGAAAAGTGAAGAACCATCAAGAAACCAAATACGCCTAGAGCATTTAGAACTTGGATTTTGTAAAAATAAAGATAATAATATATTTCAGTATGTTTAAACACGTGCATAGAGTATCGTTGGAAACATCATAATAATCGCTGAATGGTGATCACTTCCTTTGTCTTTCTTTTTCTTATTAAGTTGGCTTCCATTTTAATATGGTCAAAGCAACTGATAATTGCTATAGTTATTCATTTTTTTAGGGCCACAAGACATAGTTTATTCAATGTACAATCTCAGATAATGATTACAAGTTTCTCTAGTCATCCAAAAAAAAAAAAAAAATTCAAAATGAATTTTTGCCATTGATCTTGCTCTAAGGTTTCCCTTAGAATGACACGTGACAACTAGCTAGGAATGATAATAAGCAGGTAAGTGGGTCAAGACATACCCCTTATACATTGTGATTGAGCATATTGTACATACAAGTATGAAATGTAAGTTCAATTGTCAAATACTCAAATTATACTTTTAGTTTAGATGATATACACAGTATTATTGTCAAAATCATATATATCAAAAGTCATAAATTTAAATTATGTACGATCATATCACGTGTTGCTTGTACTCCATCACACGTCCTTCAATTGTCCCGCCCTCCATTAATTCCCACCATAGCCTATACACTCTCACCTGCCCCATTCCCCATTGAGATTTGAGGCAAGGATACACACACATAACGTACGCGTTGGGTGAATGTATGTATAATTGTTGTCACCACTAGCTATTGAGGCATTAATGCGTGCAGGGAAATTGTACCGAATGAAGCACCTTAAAAACCAGTCCTTAATAGCTTTTACACTCCATACCTTAATTAACTGGTCATAAAGGACGGATTGTAAAGCTGCCGGTGGCCTATGATTAACGTACCCTACGCACAGTTGGTCCAAACGCGACAGTGCGCAGAGCTGTCCAACATTAAAAAAACAACACATGACCTTGCTGTGAGGTTGGGTGGTATGCATCCACTCTAAACTTCGGGGGTGATTTTTTGTTTTTTGTTTTTTTTTTTTTCCTTTTTTTTGTTGCTTTTGATACATTAGGTATCGCAGTCGTTGAAAGAAGTACATCGCTAGTCACCCCGTCAATTCACAGATTCTCACCCTATCACACTTTATTTTGCATGGGTTTAGCTCAATAGTTCAGTATGTAGTATTTGAGAGAAGAGACCAAGATTTGAACTTCGATGGCGACAGTGTGGAGATTATGTTCAAAATGGACAAATTCTTGTAGGCACTGACATTTGGCCCTGTCTACTGAGCTATTGAGTTATTGTATACTCTGTCGGATTGAAGTATGGGGAATCTTTGGGGTTGAAATGAGATTTTAAGTTGGGCAGCTCAACTGGTTATAGGGTGAAGTTTGGGAAGAATGATCAGGGATCGAGTCTCACCAGCGGCAGTATGGGAGCAACCTCTCAAAGTGAGGGGGCTTCTCATGCGCAGTAAGCAAAAGTCTAGCCTCTATGGTTAAGTTGAGTTA